GAAATTGCAATATTTTTATGTCATTGAAATAAGGTTTTTACCGCAAACCTTTTCGTAACAATGAAAGTAAAGTTATAACTCAAGGTTGTCGTAAGGTTACATGCTTTCTGGGAAATACTTATGTCTTGGCTGTTAGCTCAGTTAACTGCTAATTTAGCTACATCACAAAAACGAAAATTTGCCTTTTCCCATTTTATACGGACGGATAGCCTAGCTTATATGGTGTTGGGTCCTTGTCCGAGAGGTCGTGAGTTCGATCCTCACTAGCCGAATACTTCCCTTGTAAAAATGGAGACCGGTACTTGCTAAATCTGACGTTGCCACGAAATCCTCCAAGTTCCTATAACAAGTCAAAACTCTGGGGGTACTGGATTGGAGATTGATCGCTTTCTGGTTCAAGTCAAAAGTACGATCTGCGGACGTAAAGATCGTGTATGAATGTGTCTGTAAACGGTGAGACGTATATGTACCTTGTAAAACGGTATTTGACATATATGAGTTGTCTCCGGATCATCGCTGGGATATTTCCCCTACTGTCGCCAATAGCCCATCGGCCATCTCAAGTGCTACATGAATAAAAGTATCAGCACCGTTCTGGGCCGAGTCGTTTCATGCGATGGGGAAAACTAGAGCTCGAATCAACCACCATTCTTACTCCATACGATTCACGCAGTTTCGATCACTGTTGTAAAAAAATAAGAAATTAAAATAAAAATGGGAAGAAAAAGTGAGATACCCCCCCCCCAAANAAAAAAAAAAACACCAATTAAATTCTCCTGCTCTTTCTCGACGGCAATAAGAGATGCGTAAATTGTCTCTAGTGAAAACGGTCTCGTAGAATCAGAGAAATCTTCATGTGCAGTTTCGCACTAATGTGCTCCTTAAATAAAAATACAAGGTTGTACAAAGGAACTTAAGTTCAAAAGAAACAAGCATTCGGAAGCGTATTGCAATAAATAATTTTGTATACAACCGGTAAAAATTATTGTTTTGAAATTTTTATCAAAGGAGCTTAATAAACTTTATTTACTGTTGAACATCATCGTGCAATTTTCTCTACTTTTTAAACGTTTGTATAACATTTCATTTTATTCTAAAGTGTTATCTAATTCAAATAATATGAATAAATTATTATAGTGATAAAATAATTTTTTTTGTATATTGCCTTATAGATTACTTGTTTTAGATTTATATCTTGCATTGCTATTTTTTAGCAATTTTCTAGTGTGCGTGTCCATAATGAATATTAGTGTAATTTGTCTGTTTTTAAAACGACTTTCCCGCATTATTGGCTATCTAATTTTTTTTTTAATATCTGAAAAATAATCGCCCATAAAAATCTGAATAATAATTCCCCATGTACTGCATATAAAAATCTAAAAATTAATTCCTCATGAAAAGTACCTTAGTGACGGAGACTTGATTGTAATAACTATAACAATATAAATAACAAATATAAAGATAGTAAAATAAAAAGCAACGTATCAAAACTTTTTAAATTCATGATGTGTAAGGCATATCCATAATTTCATATCCCTTTATGCTCTTATGAAAAAATTCTACTCCTATTCTTATGTTAAATTTTAATCTTCATTACTCACGCCTGGTCTTTTCTGTAAGGTATCCGTTTGGTAATGTGTTTCTTTTTAAAAAAGAAAACTGAAATAGGCACGCACTAAAATCGAAATACCATAAGCACAATCTTAATAATTTTTTCTTTTTCATTTTGTTTGAGCAAAAATATGCTATTTTAATGTTTTTGTAAGGGAATATTTCCTTATCTCTGACCTGTTAGAGCCAAATGTCATTAGCAAGGTGCCTAGAGGTTTTTGTACATGCATAAATTAAAAAAAATTTAGTGTTTTACCTGTAAGTGGCTATAAATTATATTCTTTGAGTTGGTCTCCTTCTGTAATCTTTTTACTCTATAGTTGTGCCACTTCCTGAATTATTGGTGCTGGAATATGGAAATCATCCTTTTTTCCTTATTTAAATGTCACACATTGTATTTGGCCTGTACATTTCAAAATTATTTTAGTATAGTTTGATATTATGACCAGCCTCGTGGCAGAATTGCAGCGACATTGAACGTTACAGAGTTATTGCAGGAAGATTTTTCTCTTGAAGAGTAAAAAAAAAATTACTTTTCTTTTCTACAGAAATTTATATGTAATATTTGAATCATGCATTTAGATAATCACTTTTTGAGGCTCTCAATTTACGCTGTAGTTTTGTAAATTGGTGTAATGTTTTGATTGTATTTTCAGCATTTATTGATATTGATTTTCACATGGATTTTAAATATCCTGATATATTTCAAACAATACGGAAATTTGAAATTGTGCATTTGAGTATTTACTTTTTAAAGCCATAATTTTATTGAATGTTTGGCACTTATTGCTATTAGATTCTCCATAGTTTTTAAATCCGAAATTTTTTATATGATATTATTTATTACAACAACTAATCTCGAAATGAAACACGCATTTGAAGAATCTGATTCTCGTTATTTCGTCGTCGATCTTTTTTTCGGCAGTTACTGCAGATTTCATGATTTTTAATTAATTTATTTATTATATATTTTTTTATTGTATTTTTTTATTATTTTCTTTAGTATAAAAAATTATTACATGTTCAATTAAAAAATGGTATGTTTTTTTTTTTTTTGTTAACCCAGCGCTTTTGCTATTTTAAATTAGTAACATGTTTATTATTATTAAAAGCATCATGCAGAAAGATATTAGTGCCAGAGAGTTTTGACGCAGATAGCTCAAAAAAAATTCTGCCTCAAAAATGACAAGAAAATTACAATAGTTGAAAAGATATTCTATACTTATACCTCTATTAATCTCTAAATAAATTAATTGCTTTTCTGTTTTTCTTCGGAACTTCTTAATCATTTTGCACTTATTTTTTAGTAAATTGTTTTGCCCACATTAGCCATAGTACTGTCCGAGTAATATTTAGGTTTGACTTGTGTTCATGTAAATATTTAGTGTAATGTAATAATCAAGAGAGTGAGGAGCTACAACCTATGATTAGGGCTGCATGTTTGCCGCGGAGCGAATTTCTGCAATGATTTCCGCGAAATTGTTATCTTTTTTCCTAAAATCCGCAAATTTCTCAACATGTCTTGACTTGCTCGAAAATTGCTTAAAATTTGATTTTTTTTAATTTATTATTTTTATTAAACAGAATTTTTTATTTTCCTGAACCTTAAATTGAACATGTAAAATTGATTAGATATTTAGGGGAGTAAATCAATAGCAAAATGACATGAAAATAGTTCAGAGATAAGAGATAATCACAATCTTGTCAACTAAGGTGGTCTTTCTACACTTAGGGAGGGTAATTACCTTCCTGAAGTCAGTAAGAGTACAAAAGAAATTGGAATCACAAAAGAAGGAAAATATTATAAATCAAATCTTTGACAGAAAAATTGTTATACATGCTATTGCACTGGGCAATGAAATTTCTACTGCCTTTCTACATATCCAGTTAATTTTTCCTAGGCAGCTTCTTGTGATTTCTTAAATATGGATCAGTTTCTTGGATGAAGGGGGGCACTAGTAGTTAGTAGAGTCTTGTAACTAGTAGTTTGAATGTAGAATGTTTGAGTTTTCACAGCAATTACTTCTTACAAAGCAACGGTCAAGGAATTGCGCGCTGGTGAAGGAAAATTGATCGAGTTTTGGAAATTAAAGACCGAACGCTCCAAAATTGGCAAAAGTGGCGTTGATGCAGAAAGATCGTTTTCTAAGTATAAAAATTTATTAAGTGATGAAGGACGAAGGATAAATGAGAATAATCTGACAATGTACAATACTTTGTATCAAAATTCTGTTCATTTAAATAAAAATATTAATATTGCTTGAAATTCAAAGAAATACTTTTGTTGTGTATTTTTAAGCTTTTTTTATTATTTGCGCAATTTCTGTCTTTTGCATCATTTATATAATAAATTTTTTTATGTTTAGAATTTGTGTAATTTTCAAAATTTCCCCCGAGTTTTCCTCGAATTTGGGGTCTTTTTTCCCGTGACAAACTTGCAGCCCTACCTATGATGAGTCAACTTCATTTATGTTATAAATGATAATACTAAATATGTACGTCCCCATTCCTTAAATTCCACTGGATCTTGGTTCAAGAAATGGTGATAATTAAGATGGATAAAAGAGCAAATTTTATCTAAAGCTACCTTGGCCTTAAACTGAACTTAAGTATAGCTACAACTGTGGTGTTTTTCATTACAAAAAACAACTTTTCTGATTGTTTTTTATTGTAATAGTTTTTTTTGGGAAGTTTTTATGCAAATTTCTTTAAATGTGAAATAATCAGTTGATATAAGATTTTGAATTTTCAACTTTACAGAAATTTAATGTTAATTTTTCGTTTTTAGATTGAAGTTTTCGAGCTTTGGTAATCTGAAGCAGTAACTTCCTCTGGAAGAAATTAATTACTACTATACAAAAGTTTTTGAAGGTATTGCGATTATTTTCTGACAATGTACTTAACTAACCTTTATGAGGGGAGTGAAGAAATGATTGAATATTTTGAAACTTCTCTCAAAGATGTGAATCAAGAGCTTCAAAAGTGGAATACTGTGATCGAAAATCATTTATTGAAAATAAATGGATTAACAGAAGTACTTCGATTACCAAGCATTAATCAAAGTAAGCATTTATGTATATTAATACCTTCATATTTATTCAGTAGAAAGTTCCTGTTTCTGTAATTGTGGTATACAAAGTATTGTACCATTTGTATGAATGGGTACCAATTTAGAAAATGGTGTCCGATATTTTCTAATTTGAATGTGTTTTAAAAAATTTGTATTTCGTATAGAAATTCTTATTTATGCTAAAATTTGAAAATAAAATTTTATATCAAAATAATTCTAGTGCCGACATTAAATTAGTAATTTATTAATATTAATAATTTTATTAACATTAATAATATAAATTCTACTAAACAACCACTCAGTTGTATGTCATTTTTTTTTACTATTATAATTTTTTTGCGATCTCTATTAATTATTTGTACAGTCGGCAAAAAAAGAGATATCACCCTGAATAACTCTCATTCTAATGATCTGATTTTCACGAACTAAACATCAATTTTGATGTTTCCTGAGGGTGACCTCAAATATGCTTATTAATTGGTGCTAACTATTAATTAAGTTACAAAATCAGACTCAAAAACATATTTCTCTGAATAAAGACATTGTTTTTACAATTTTCTTGAAATCAATAATAAAAATTTTATAAATTTTCTAATTTTAATTGGAATTGGGTTCAATTCTTTGAAAATTGTAAATTATTTGATGTGGAATGAATTGCTCACTTTTATTTTTTTACTTTAACACCTAAGTTAAGTTTTAAATTAATCTGTTAAAGTTACAGTTTTACTTTTGTTGCTGTACAATTTTAATGTAGCATTATTGTTTTTAATTGATAAATATTTTTTTAGGCTTTGAATGGGTAAACACAAGTAGGCCTCTCTCAATAGAAAAAGATCTTAGTGGTAAAATTGTCATATTGGACTTTTTTACTTATTGTTGCATTAATTGCGAACATATATTACCATATTTAAAAGCAGTTGAAGATGAATTTTCTGATAATGCAAGTGTTGTAATAGTTGGAATTCATTCACCTAAATTTCCAAATGAAAGAGACAAAAACAATGTTAAGGACGCTGTCTTCAGAAATAATATTACACATCCTGTATTGCATGATCCAGAAAACTTTTTATGGAAAGAAATGGGTATATATTGTTGGCCAACAGTCCTTATATTAAGTAAGTTTTTTCCTGTTCCTTTTGCTTTTGGAAGTTAGGTTATACAAATTAGATAATAAATATCATTCTGGAAAATCTTTATATAGTATTTTATATAGGTCTTCTGTAATATTTTTACAAGTGCTGTATCAGTTTATCCTAAGAATACAGCTTTAAAATTTTTTTTTGATATTTATGTGAAAATTAAGTTCTTATTTATTTGATTATCTTTTTTGATTTCAAATTTAATCTTAATAATTTATTGATGGTTTTTTTTATAAATATAAGGAAAATTTATTGCTTAGTTTAGTTTAAAGATTACATTTCCTAAGTGTATTATAAAATGTGTTATTAAAGCAATATTTATTATTTTTTTCTGACAGACTAAATAATAAATGATGACTAACTGATTATAGTTTTATTTATTTTTAAAATAATTTTTTTTTACTTAATTTTTAAACTTTTTATGTCACATACGCTCACCGCTCACTAATTTTAGCAGTATTAAGTTTTGAAAGAGCTGTTAGGAAAGTCAAAACAATGTGCAATACATGTTCTGATTTGACTAATAGTCTATGAATTTTTTGTAATTTTGTGCTTTCTGTTAACTGTATTGAAGAAAAAAACTTCATTTATGTTATTTTTTTATTTATTTATTTTGTGGCATGGTTTTGTCTTTAATTGTCCGTTTGCTTCACACTTTTAAAATTTTTTGGTCTTTTGCATAAAATAAAGTCTTATGTAAAATATTTTGAAATATATAATACGTAATGTATTTTTATATATCATGTAAAATATTTTTTCAGGAGATAATTGCTGAGTTTAGACACTTTATTTTTTTTCACATTAGTGATGGAAATTTTTTTTATTATTTTCTTTTTTTTTGCTGCCTAAATTTTGTATACATTAACGGTCATGTTATATGTAAAATCTCTTTCATATGAAAAAATTTTCTCTTGAAAATGAACTTGCATCAGATCCTTGCAATTATTTTCTCTGATTTTGTCTATTTTTGCATTTTATATTTTCTTTATGGGAAATCATCTGAAATTTTTAATTTTTAAGAAGTAAAATCATTGCCCTAAAAATTAAATATGAGATGGTAACATTATTGCTTGAAAGGTAAATTATGATTAAAGTATCGCAGAATATCTCAAGATGTACTAATTAAAATAGCTCAACATAGACCTTTTACTTTAAATATTATTGATGGAGTTGACAAATATTTTCAAGTCATCTGATTACTGTATCTAATAATCAGTTTTTCCTCCTAATTTTTAGGTCCTGCTCATGTAGTGCAGTTTTCTATATTTGGAGAAAGTCAAATTGATAAATTAAGTCATCTTGTTCATCAGACATTGAAGTTCTTCGATTCTCAAAAACTTACTTTGAACTATGAGTCTTTATCAAATGCAATTCAAACAGAAAATGTTTTGTCTGAAACATTACGTTATCCAAGCAATCTAACAGTTTGTGATGATTATATAATTGTCTCAGATACAGGTCACAATCGACTCATCGTCATTACCGTGCAAGGAAAAATTATGGTTAATATTTTTTTAATATAATAAACTTAAAAATTACTTATTGTATAATGTTGTAACTTTTTTATAAATGTAATACTTGTACAGTCAAATCCTGCTATTGTGAACCCAGCAATAAGTATACTATAAGTGGTGGTTCACTATATCCAAATACTTAGAAAAGTTTCATTTTTAGCTTATGACAATAACATTGTTAGAAATAGTGATTTCAATTGTGCATAATTTGTTTATAAATTATTAACTGATTAAATAGATAATAAATTAAATATTAAAAAGTATAAAAATTAATTTTTATATTCTGTGGAAGAAGTTGATTTTTAATTGACTGCAATTCAGTTTTAGTGGAGTCCGCTGATTGTCGTATCAGCAATTAGTAAAGAATTCAGTATTTTTCCAGTCTGCAATTTTGCAGTAAAAAAAATCAGTTCATTTAATGCGGATTTCACTTCTGAGTTTTTGTTCTTCTTCAACATAGAGGGGAGGGTAAAAAGTGAAATGTGCTGCTTAACAACTTGTTCGCCTTCATTTAAATTTTTAAGAGTACTAAGATTGGTCACAATGTAAAGATATGCCATCATTCACAATTGCAATTCCTGCAAATTTGAAGGAGAAATGAAAAAAAAAAATTTGAAAAGGAAATGATATAAACAAATTACCAATTTTTTAACTGTTTACTATAAGCATTTAAAATAGCATTAATTAGATTCCACTAAAAAAGTTCACTGTAACCAAGTATTCAGTATATACCATTTTCATTATGGTTCATTCATAGTGGGGTTAGCTGTAAAATGTTTTGTTTGATCAATTTTTGTGGATATAAGGTACACCAAAATTTATTTAATGCTTAATAGCTGTTTCAGAATACTTGAAATGCTGTAATATTTGTTTTTATAAGTTTCTTATTTTCACGAGGAAAAGTTGAGCATTTGGGATCAAAGCATTCCAAGATCATACTGTAGAATTACAATTTTTAGGATATTGTGAAAAATTTTAAAATTGTCTACTTTGAGTAAAAGTTAATGTCTAATCTTTTAACTGCCAATCTGTTTGAGAAAGCAACCTGGCCTTTTAAACCTTTAATTATTAAATTTATGGGAATTTATAATTAAAGGTTTAAAAGGCCTAGTTGCTTTCTCATACAGGTTTTATTCTTTGTTAAAGAAACACTTAAGGTTCAAAAATGCTCACAGTTCAAATTTACCCAAAGAGCTTTGAACTTATAATTGAGACAAAAAGATTCATGTTGTATTATAGAATTTAAAAAAATATACTATCTGATTATTTTACTGATCTGATTATTTAATTACTGAATAATTTTAATTTGAACATTTGCAGTTTCACTTTTGAACTTAATTTTCACTGCAAATAAGAACCAGTTATTTTGGAAAATGTTATATTCTTTAACAAATATTTTATTAGCTTTACAAGTTAACGAAAAAAAAAACTAATAATATTTTATTTTATATGATAAATTTCAAGTTATAATTCAAATTATGTTACGATAATATGTAGCACAAATTGTGTGCAAGGTTTTCCAAAAATGCGTTTTTATCTAGAGCTTACGTAACTTCATAAGTTTAGTTACCCTTTACTTAAAAATAATTCTAGCATTCAAATTTCTTTTTATGTAAAAAAAATGTACATTAATGCGTTCTTAAACTTAGTATGTAAATTTTCTCATCCTTCCAGACAAAACACTAAAGAATCACAGCTAATGTGGATTGAGAAATGGAAGGTTTTCTCCTAAAAATAATATTCTTGCTTTAAGATCTGCTAATCATGCTATTTTTAGTTTCATTGAAGAATATTTGGAATTTTTACTTATTCATGAAAAAGTTTTAGTAGTTTTTTCTTACTACTAGTGTTTTAATATTTTATGACTGCCATAATTTTTCAAACTTGTATTCATTTTTCATTTAATCAGGATATAATTGGTAATGGAAAAGCAGGTTTTGAAGATGGCCCATACTCAAAAGCTTTATTTAACAACCCTCATGGAACTGCATGGCTGAAACCTAATATTATATTTGTGGCTGACACAGGAAATCATAGTATTAGACAAGTAAGCTGTTGTATTTTTAATATTTATTTTAATAAATACGTTTTTTTTTTTGCTAGATTGAAATCTGTGTGAGTTGGATGATTTGATTTTCACTTGCTAAAATGCAATGTTATTCGACTGAGTGTTTGATGGACCCCACACATAAAAGGTTAATTAGTTAAAGCTAACATGGATTTAAGTAACAAATTGTACTTTCTCTGAACAATCATATCTTTTGTTTTGACAAACGTAAATTTTTAGCTGTCTGGGAATTATGTTTTCAGTAGTTAAGTCAGCAAACAAGTTGTCAAAATGATGGGACTTTCAACGCTATTTATTAATGTTTAATATTTCATCAAATCTCTTAAATTAATTTCACTCATCTAAATATTAAATCGACAAATTACATCTATATAAACTTTTGAAACTTTACTTAATGACTGTTTTATGTAAAAAAAATAATAATATTAATAATTATGTATTTTTCATTATTTAATTAAATCTTGATCAAAATTTTTCTAATTGTAAGATATGCAAGTTTTTACACCATCTTATGCATTGTAATTTTTGTTGTTGAAATTTAAAACTTGAATTAATTTTGTTGAATAGTTCTCGTAAACGATATAATTAGGACTGCTTTAAGTTTTTATAAAGTTGTGTTTTAGGGTGTGAGGAAATATACAAAAATCGATCAATATTAAAGGACCCAAACTTTTGTTAAGTTTTCTTAACTAAGTCATGAAAACCAGATCTTACAGACTGCATCTATTGTTTGTAACTTAAGGGTCAAAAATTCAAAAACCCACCAAAAGAAAAGTATATTTCCAAATATAGTTTGGTTGTACTTTGTGTTACAAATGAGTAAAGTTAAACAAACTAATTGATTACTGTTAAGTAATCACAAAAATAGACAAGGATATACTATTTTTTGATTTTATAAATTGGAAACTTTTTGTCATACAATAAAAGGACAGATAAAAAAATGAGATAAAAAATTGTTTAAGCAAATCGTTAGTATTGTTTTAAGGTTGTGGAAGAAGAGGAAAAAGATGAAATACGCAAATCAAATGTGGTGAAAACCGGGGGTGTGTGGGGGTAGTATGAGAAACCCAAATGTGCAAGATGTAGAAAGTAAATCATATTTCTAAACATTAGAAAGGAATGGGATACTAAAAAGATAACTAATTTAACTATAAGAATTTTTCAAAGATTAATTCCCAGAAGTCAAGATTAGTATTGAATTATTTTAACAGAAGGAGCTCAAACTTATGAATGATTAGAATTCCAGCTATGCCAAGTGATGGAAGATTGTGTATGTTTATTTAGAGAAAGCTTGTTTTTGTGTCTGGTTTTATGACTTAAACTATCATTGATACTAATTAATTAGTGTAACTTAAATGATATCCTTAAACCATGAAGATTATCTTAATATGTTAAAAGTATTATTGAAGGTTTCCTGTTTAAAATTCATAAACCTCTAATTAAAGAAATAGAAGTAATATCTTAAGTATAATACCAAATAAATATTGAATCTCATTTTGTAATAAAATGGTTTTATTTTGTTTTTGTTTAAACTCTATAAGTTTTCTTTAATTAAAATATTTAATTTAAATTTATATTGCTCAGTAAAATATGTATTATTTATAAAATATGTATGTGTATGTTTCTTTTTTTTATACTCTAATTCTGTAAACATTGCAGTTTTTTTACTTTCTTTTTTAGAATTTATTTCAGAATGAACTTCTGTATTACATGATTTGATAATAATAAAAAACATTTCTTTTCCCCAATGTGTATATATATACATATATTGATAAAAATGGAGGGGGAAAAAATTTAAAAAGTGTTTTTTCTTTCTTTTTAATTTTTGAACAAATTAAAACAATTTTATTTTCTGTAAATATGCTACCAAGTTTATTAAAAAGATTTTGTGCTTAGAGCACAAATGTTTATAATAAAAATTATATTTGTACAAGTGCATGCGGCCCTTTAATATTCAACCTGCAGTGCAAGTGGCCCTTCCTTCAAAAAGGTTGTGCATCCCTATATTACAGGCTGATTGCATTTTCTATTTACTCCATTTGCCATTTTCTGGATGTTTTCATATTTTAAATCATAAAAATTATATCTTTGCAAAATTTAAATAAAATTCATATAAGTAATCTTTCCTAAAGCTAAAAGTCATTTTTTCTCAGCTTCTTTCCTGAATCTCAAGTTACATTCATTTGTGAACTTCCTAAACCTTTTAATTCACAGGGCTGATTGTGCTCCGGAAAAATCCCTATTTCCGGAATTTTCGCTAACAGTGATCCGGAAGTTTCCGGAGATCGAAGGTCCAGACGTTTCAAAAAATCATTGGTCACAGAAGTTTCCGGAAATCAAATTTTCAAAAGTTGAACTTAAAAACACAGTTTATTTTATTTGTTTGTAAGGAAGACCCAGAGAGATACTTTATTAGCTTATATTCATGATTAATATTCATTTTTTATCAGTAAATAGTTGTTATAATCATAAACTCAAAAAAGAAAGACATATTTGTAAATTTTAATTACTTCTCCAGGTCATCATAGGTATGTGTAAAATTTTAAATATATTTTAAGTAAACTAAGAAATATTGAAGAAAAGGAAAGAAACCTTGTTTAAATTTTTTTCTAATTTTTCAATTTAAACTGTTTTTTTTTTAACTCAAGAAATTTTCCGAAATTTTGACTTGTGCTCACAATTACAATTCAAAGAGGTTTCATAGCTATTACAAAATCTTGAATTTCTAATTATTTCATATATTTAATTTTTTGAGGAATTTACTGATAATATAGTTTTAAAATGTGAACAAGTGAATTTGACTGTAGCATTTTATTTATATTTCTTTCATTACCTTCGTACATTTTACCTTTATTACATTATCTCAGTAAAAATATAAGTAAAATAATAATTGTTGTTAGTGATCGCAGTATGTTTCCTACCTAGAATGTTTCTTCATCCCTTAAGTTAGAGAATTTTTTAGAGTGAAGCCTTTCATTACTGTGCATGTGTCTGATGATTTTGAAACTGGGGCATTTTCATTTCATTAAATAAGTTTAAAAATGTATATTTAACCTTTTGATCTGTTTTCATAAAATTTTTCTGTAGCTAAGCTTCTGTAGCTTTTCTGTAGTTTCAACAAAAATGTGCACCATTTTATAAGAGAGAAACTATACTTTTCCACCTAATATTTGTCTGAATTATTTATGTCAAATTGATGCTTTTTATAATCGTGTTTTTTTATATATTACTTTTTGTAAGATTTTTATTTACTTCTTTTAGATAGATCTTCTTTCTAAAACAGTCATTACTATTTTTGATGGCAGAACTAAAAATTATGATTCTAATCTTAGCACAGAAGAAACTGTACCTCAATATAACTTCTTGTCTCCTTGGGATTTATGCATTGGACCCAAGTTAGGTAATTAAAGTCAATTTCTTTATGAATATGTTTTTCACTGTGATTGGGTGTTAGAGGCACACCCTTTTCAAGCTTTATTTTTTTATAATCTTAGAAAATTTTTTAATCCTACATGAAAATGTCTAAAATAAATAAATTTGAAGTGAAAATAAATAATATGGGATTTTTAAAACACCTTAACTTATTCGTATCTCTTTTTAGCATAAGACATTAAATTTTTTTTCTCTAATTATTTAATAAACTTTTAGTAGCAAGGAAAAATTCTATATAAATTTTGAGTGCGATTCATACATACATTAACTTGTGTTATGTGAAAATTCTTGTATTTGTAACAAGATTTCATGCATCAGAATTTGTGAAAAGAAGAAAATGTATCAAAAAGAAGTAAATATATATAAATTTTAAAAAAAAAAATTTTTTTTTGTCAGCCTAAATATTATATGTTATATTGACAGTAAATTGTTCAAATGTTAAAAGAATTAATCAAAGGCTTTTGATTACTGACAAAGTCAAAAGAATTTAAATACTTTAATATTTAATTTATGTAATCAGTATTTTCTTGCAAAAATTGTAAATATTTTCTTGAAAATTTTATGTTTCAAAAATGTTATTTATAAATTTATGTTCATAGTCAAAGCCAAATTTTTTTTAAACTTTAGTAAGCAAGAGAACTTAAAAGATTGGTTTAGTTTTGTGTAATAATGATTTTTATGATGTATAATTTATTAAAATGAACTCCACTGTGTTATCGTTTCTGAATAAATATGTGATTAATGTTTTTGCCCCACAGTCATAAAATAAACAAAATGTTTGAAGATGTGTTTGTGTCAAAAAGAATTTAAATCTTATTCAAAATGGTGTCAAGTCCTTAATTCCTCATCTTACTATATATGTATCACAAATTTTGTATAGGTACAAATAGTAGAGATAGCTAAGTATTGATTTTTTCGCTATCAGTTACTAACTGATACAGCAAAATATCAGTTACAAAAACCTGATATGTTTTTAATCAGATACATTTCAATGTTAATTTAGATCTTAATTATTAAATTGCACGGTAAAACTTCTATTATTTTTATTAAATCTAATTTTGTTGAAATGTTTTCACTTCAAATTAAAATATAAAGATATTTTTGCATTTAAAATAATAAATTCATCTAGAATATAACTATCACAAATTCTTGTATTAAATACCACTGAATAATAAAAGTAATACCAAAGAAACATTTTTTCTTTATTTCCTAATAATTGGCTATCGAAATATAATTAATTCTGTTCATGAGAAAATATTTATGAATCAAAATTGGTTCTTCCTCTAGATAGCTTGTGAAAACCATTTAAATTATCTTTTCTTAATTTATGGTTTAATTAATTTAAATGGTTTGCAATTGCTGTCAAAATATTAATTAAGAGTTTTTGTAAAAATTCATGTATTATTTTGCAAGTTGAACAAAGAAAATATTCAAATATCATATGACCTATGAAATATATCTTGAAAACCTATTCATATAATATAAGAAATCTTTGATTATGGATATCTGTGATGAGCCAAAATCAAAAATTACTTGATTGAGATAATTGATTTATTGAGCTTAAAATGTAAATTTTTTATTGTACAAAATAAATATTGTAAAACTCACATGTAAATAAGGTGGGAGAACTGAGAAAGAGGAAATAAATTTTAAAAAAAACAAAACATGAACAAGTATTTCTAGAAACATTCCAATTGTCTGTGACAAGGGAAAAAATTGAAACAACTTCAAATATCAAGTTACTTAAAATAGATTAAAAAATTGAGTTAGTTTAGTGTTAATTAAACATAAATGAGTCCAGATTCACTCAAAAAGTTCTCCACAAAGGACATTCAGGAGTTTCCTCATCTTTTTAAATGGGTTCAAATATATAAGGGCACAAGTTAATTTTGTAACCACAAGATACATACCTAAGTGAATGAAACTGTTGTTCCCGAGCATTATTTATGTGGGTCCCTGAGTGTTTTTTTTTTATTTAGTTACTGTCATTGAACAGTCAGTGCATATTGGATTTGTAGTTATATCAATAGAACTATAAACTATATTCTATGTATTATCTTATAGCACTCTAAAGTAATTGTGAAAAAAATTAAAACTTTTCTTTTTAATTATTTGAATGTTTGTTGTAGATGTTTTTTCCTGTTGTTTCATCTTTGTCATTTTCAGGAGCTAATTCTAAACTTTTGAATACTTTATATATTGCTGTTGCTGGATCACATCAAATTTGGGAATTAAGTCTGGATAATTTAATATCATCTGATGAACAGTTAGTATAGTATGAAAATTTTACCTTTTAAACCATAGAAATTTAAATTTCCTTGATGAGTAGCTGTATAAAATCTGATAAAATATATTTCTAATTAAGTATCTGCTTAAATAAAGAGGATTTAAGCAATTTTTTGTTTAGTAACAATAAGTTTTCTATTTTTTCCACAATAACATTTCCAGTAGTTATTTTTTATTATTTTCTGATTTTGTGTCTTATTTTTAAACTAGTGCCCCTTGATTTTATCAATTTGAAATGTTGAATAAGTTAAGTACAGGGTAATTCAAAATTGCTATAGCTATTAATAACTATTTAATGAAAAATAATTTAATGATAAGATTAACATAGAATGTGGATGGAACTTCAAAATTTCTTTATGTAAGGCACAGACGCGAGTTCATTAGTGAAAATGGCGAGTACCAAGAAAATGAGATTAGAAAGCATTCTGCGTGTTGTTAGAATTTAACAATTGTCATTCTGTTATCACAGTGCAGAGAAGATTTCGTTAGCGTTGTAATCAAGAACCTCCAAATGGACATTAGCGTTGTGATCAAGAAAAACAATCAATTCGACTGTATTCACCAAAAAAAGCTGATTGTGAGTGTTTGGTGCTCTCACACAGGTGTGATCCATTATCATTTTATGAAGCCTTGCTCAATGGTCCCAATAGAAATACACTGTAACTAACTAGGCAAAATTATGTAAATACTTAAAGAAAAATAGCCTATATTGAGCAACAGCTCAGTCCCTACTGACTATCAATTCTTTCTAAATTGTAACAACTTTATTATGGGATTTGAAAGTATAAAAATTTAATTGCAAAAATGCTGTAAAACTAGCCTTCCTGGAATTCATTGACTCTCGTACGCCAAGGCTTCATACACCTTGCCTTAACAACCCTGATGCTTACATGGAAAAAATGTCAATAAAATATGTGTCATTCTGTACTATAGTTCTTTATATCTGCAAACTACAAAACAACTTTTTTTTTTCTTCACAGATTTTATATTTGATGACCTGATAACAGCATTTTACTGTATTTATAAATTTAATACTTTTATTTCAGTTTTTTTTCTTCTAAATAAGTATTTCATCAAAACATGAAATTGCATGCATTTTAATAATTTTGGTATACTAAGTATATATTATTCTTGCAGATATGTCCCTGTAAAGTGTGTTCCCTTTGCTGGAAGTGGTAAAGAAGAGTGTCGCAATAATTCTTACAAAATGAAAGCTGGATTTGCTCAACCATCTGGAATAACTTATAATGAAGCATGCCCAGGAGATTTATTTATTGCAGACAGTGAAAGCTCAACTATTAGATCAATCTCTGTTATTAATGGTGCTGTGAAAACTGTTGTTGGAGGAAGCTTCAACCCTGAAGTAAATATATGAATATACAGTGAAACTGCGGCTTAGCGGATATTCTTCGGACTAAAAAAATTGTCCGTTTATGAGAGTTATCCGTTTACGGAAAGGGTACCCTATTAACTAAGTGTTTAACCTTGTAAATTGTTTTTAGAATATTTTCTAAGATTATAGAAATAATTAAATAATATAAAATAACTATCTACAAGGATATTTATTTAAACTTTTTTAAAAAAATTCGATAAAAAAAGAATATATTAAGAAGTTTGATATAAATACATAAATCTAGATGTAGCTACAGATAAATGAATATAATTTTCCTATTAGCACAGATATTCAATTTAGCCATATGATACAGAATAGGAGCTTTTAGTCCTCGCTCTGTTTCAGTTATTAGGTTTACATCCCCTAACACCTACCTTTCACTTAATAGGAAAGGTGGTTAATTCTTCCTTGAAAAGAACCCTCCCATGATTCACAGAAAAAAAGCAATGCATACCAGTTTGTCATGGGCACCTATGGAGTTGATTATTCACAATTGATCATCTATCAAGTGTATGTATAAATATTTCATTTACATGAACACCTCAAAGATTATACTTCTGTTCTCTTTTTTTATACTCCAACAATGTAAAATATAGTCTTCAAATTGATACGAAAAATAAGAGAAATTTTCTGTGGGGAAGAAGCATTGAGAGCATTTAAGACGCCATTTAAACGTGAGGAGTCTCATAACCTGTGTTGTCCAGATGAAAAGATCAAAAGATGCCGCCGTCTAAATTATTTCACAAGAGCAGTATTATTTTCTCTTCTTTCTTTGCAAAGATAAGACAAGGGGACAGGAAAAAGATTGATTCTTTAGTAGTGAAATAGCTTAACAATATTTTTAATTGTGCATAAGGTAAAAAATTTACATGCTTTAAAAATGGTGAAAAATTGCATTTTTTTTCTTGCAGTTTAAAGCAGAAATAATTTTATTTTCAAATTTAAAAAAAGTAGTGTTCAGTTTGAAAAAATAGAAGATAACGTTTCTGGGCAAAAATGACCATCCACGTTGGGTTACAGGAATGACCGCTTTGCGGAGAATGTACATAATGGTTTATTCATCCAAGTTTCCCGGGGAATTAAAAATATGACACTACTGAGAGACGTCCATTTTGCAGGAGTGTCCATAACACTAGGTTTCACTGTATATGTACAAGTTTATCCTTATTGTTTTTATTGTGCTATATATATATATGTATTATATAATTTCAGTAATTGCTGCAATTATTCTAATTTGAATCATCTTTATTACTGATTATCAGGATTACATTTAAAAAAATGGATGAGTCACGAATAGCAACAGAATCTTAAGTAAAAAATAGCATGTGTCAGTTAAATGTAAATATTCAGATATTATCATTATCATCCTTATATATATATATATACACAGACATATATACATGTGTACATACATACATGATATAAACATAAATATATGTAATCACTGTTTTTTTTCTAGTTGTTTAATCAATACAATATAAGCGAATTTTATAATATAAGCTAATTTAATAACTTTTTTTGTCAATTATCCAATCAATCTAGATATTTGATTATCCAAATCTTATCTCTTCAGATTAATCTTGATTAGAGTTTTACTATATTCTTAAGATGGTTACTAAACTTATCCTTGCATTATTATATTCATGTAATATACTCGTATACATGTATCTAGGATTTGCAGTCATGGTCATGTGAACAGAGCAAACAGGCACAGGATTTCAAAGAGAGCAAACAAATTAATTTTATTTAATCATTTTGAGATGTATGAGAGAGAATGTGTCACAGTATCATCGTGGTCCAGCATAAATGTTAGGGAAAATCTTGCAAAGAAAATCCGTAACATGTGTCAATTTAGGGAATAAGGGAAATCTTAGTAATTGATATTAGTTTATTAAATAGGTCACGCGATTCCCACTAAGAGCAAAGGGGGAAATGTCTTTCTTTTAATTAATACATGCTTGAGCCCTAAATAGATTTAAGGACAGGATGTGAATTTAAAGGTGTGGGAAAGTGTTTTGATTAGAATATTAAATTAAGAAAAAGATTTGCAGAAACGAAATAACAAAAAGATTAATTGAAGCTTTTTATGTTATATGTATATATATGTATGTATGTAAACATACATACATACATACAATGCACACATAGAAAAGTTAAACACAAGTGGAAACACTCCTATACTAACTAATTTTTTCATATTTCTCACGAAATACTCATAGTATTATTTTAAAAGTGTTTTAAGTCATGCAATTTCTTATCCATATCAATAAATTTAAAACTTTTAGCGATTTGACTGATTGGCAAGAAATTGCAAATGAAAAGGTGTGTCTTTGTACACCCTTTGTCAAAAAATACAGCGATGAGCTTATAAGCCATGTCAGTTACATTGATTATCACATGAAGAAGTAATATCTTCATGTGATAATCAATAGAAGTATATACAGAGCAAGCAAAGAAAAAAAATTTTTAAAAATTTCTTAATTTTACTCTGAATTGTATTTGATAACTTATGAAAAATTCCAATTTGAGTATATCTTGAAAGTTTAAAAAGTTTCTAGCAATTTTCTAAGTATTTTTGTTAATTTGCAAAGAATGCTTAGAATGGTAAGGGGTTTTCCACATTTCCACAAATTTAATTTTGTACTGTTAAACAAGATTTATTAAATATATTAACATTATATCGAAAACACTCCATTAAATTATGTTTTATTTCCTAATTCCATTGCATTTTATTCTCTTAACCATCATTTTAGAGTATTACCATTTGTTATGAAATTTTATTTTATGATACAGAAAGAAATGTATGTAACACCCCTTATCATTTAGAGCTTTCAATTAAAAGGTACAAAAGCTACTTTGAAATTTACTAAAACCTTTTTACATTTTTACGATATTCTAAGTGGACTTTTTTCATAAGTTTTTAGTTACAATTATAAACAAAATTATGAAAAAAAATTTATGTTTTCCCCACATATGCAGTATGAAAGGATTACTTTAGATATTCATACCTTACATAATTTTTTACGAATTTTATTAAAATTTTAAAATGATATTTTTATTATTACTTGAAATATATTAATATTATTAATCAAAATGATATTATACTCAAAAATTTGTTTAATTTTATCGAATACTTCTGCCGAAGAAAATGTTTGTCAAAAAAATTAGTTTTTCATTAAAATGTCCATATCATCATGAATATTTAAGCTAGGTTTATAAATTTTTCTGCAGTTTTTCATATGATTATGTAATATAATGTAATTGACAGGAATTACAAGCTTAATATTGTATTTTTTAGCATAATGTGTTCAAAAACTTTCTCTCTTGTTCGTCAGTCCCTCAAACCTCTAAAAGCTTTAAACTTTAATGATATATATGAGAAATTGCACGACTTAAACACTTCCATTTATCTCAGTATTTTTTAAGAAATATGAAAAAATGAGTTAGTATAGAAGTGTTTCCATTTATTTGTCCAAACCTATGTATGCATAGCAGTAACAAAGTTAATATGCATTTGAATCACTGACAAAAGGAAAATTTACTTTTTTAAAATACATAAGAAAATATATAATGATTATCAATGTGAACTCAATTTTATATTCGAGCTTATGCAATTATATTATATCTTTAGGATCTTTTTCAATTTGGAGATACTGATGGGAAAGGCCTGAATGTGAAGCTACAGCATCCATTGTGTGTATGTGTTGCTGATGATGGAAAAATATATGTTGCTGATACATATAACCATAAAGTATGTTTTATTAGCTATGAAAGTTGCTAGGAAAACACTACTGTAACTTTTTAGTTACACTGTTTTATTATATTATAAAAATGCAAGACCATTATAACAGAGTTTTATTTAGGACAGAGGACCAAATCTCAAAGCAATAAGTTTTTACATCAATAAGACTTTACGTGATTAAAGTATGAAAGAGAGATTGATTTTATCTTGGAAATAGTTTTTAAATATTTTTGGACTTTTGCAAGCATTGTAAATACTCAGGCTCTTTTGCCACATCATCATATTTTCTTAACTAATATAAATTAAATTGAAATTAATATATATACATACAGTTATGTATAATACATATCTTATAACTTTAAAAAGAGACAATGTGATCTGTCAGTTAATGAGAGCGCTTTAAACAAACACTTTAGTGTAAAGAATATCTCTGAACAATTATACTATTCTTCCCTAATGTAAATAAAAATGTCCTTTTCTTTTTTCAAAATTTAAAAAGCATTAATTGCTTATGAGTGAGTAGCATATTGAAAAGCAATAGTTTTAGAATTGTTTGTACATAATTACGAAAATGCAGTACATACATGTTGTTATGACTTAGAGCAAGTTTTATCCTAATTCTAAAGTAATTTATGCACTTTCAAGAGATTTTTGATGCATGGGTATTCAGAATACTCCATGAAGAGTTCTGTTCTGAACAATTAACTGTCATGATATTTTGCTTTGGGGCTTATGAGGAGGTATTCAAACTTATATTCTTACATTATTTAGAATAATAATGTGAATATACTTAAACTATTAATTCTTTTAATTAATCTTTACGTAGTCAGTAATCAGGTGACCACTTTGATCAGCCTGCGTAGGGACCGAGGGTGTGCGGTATGGGTCCTCGTTAAACTGTTCTACCGTAAAGTGCTCGACTTACACGCAGGTTGTCAGACTTCCATAGCGAAGGAATAATCCCCTCTACGGAGGATCAAAATTGTGGTGACATATCTTCAAATCATCCACAAGGATGTTTCCCAGACTCACCAATAGCCAATTGTGCAGCTCTAGTGTGTGTCCTAAATAAAGTACCTACTTCACTATTTAGTTATAATGACTTCTGGTCATCTAATTTACATTTATAATAAGGTTATTCTAATTCAACCAGTCTGGTTCCTTTATTTTGAATTAATGCATAAATTTCAACTTTTATGTATAATTTTTTCTTGATTTTCTTTTTTCCTTTGTTAAAGTATGTATTTCTCATAGTTTTGAAATGCTAAAATATTTTTTTATTTTGCACCTACACATTTTGAAAATGGCATCCTTTTAAACTCGCTATATTGATACCTTCTTACTTTGTATATATTTTGGACAAACAACGCATGTATAATAAGATTCAAGTGTATTTTTCTTCAAAATATCTAGAGATGTATTTATATGTTTAAGTAAACTCATATGTTAAGAAATTTATAAAATTCCTAATTTTCTCTGTAATACTTTGTCCAATTTCATTATTTTCAGATGAAGGTAGTCAATAACAAGACACGAGAATGCACAACTTTAGATCTCCATCAAGCCAGTCATGGAGCCAGTAATTTAGATTCAGAACTCTTTTTTCTTGAACCTAGTGGCTTATGTTACATTAAAAAAGACAATTCTTTGTTGGTATCAGATACTAATAAACATTGCCTTAAATTAATTGATTTAAAAACAAACATGATTACAAAGGTCAGTATAAAATATTGTTTTAAATTTGTAAAATAAAATTTTAACTGTTGAATAGTTTTTTATTATAATTTAAATGCATATTTTCTTATGATTTGTGAAATTTGCTTTTAGCTGCTGTAATTACACACTAATATCACAATGTGTAAATAAAATTTTAATTGTTGAATAGTTTTTTATTATAATTTAAATGCATATTTTCTTATGGTTTGTGAAATTTGCTTTTTGCTGTTGTAATTACACTAGATGTATTTACACTAATATCACAATGTGGATAATTTTCTTTTCACAACTGAGAAATTAGTCTTTATTTTAAATATTTTTCATGCAGATTAAGGTTACATTCTATAACTCCTGAAAAATGAATTTTTATGGTTTTTCAGTCATTTGTTAATAATATCTCATGCGTTAATAATATCTGTTTCTTTTTTTGTATGTGAGCCGATTTTCTTAAATTTGGTGTCATTAGAGGGACAATGTTAAAACTGCGTAATTGAACTATTAAAATGATGAAATATTTATATAGTTGTTTAAAAATTTTATTGTACTTTTTTTCAGATTTTTTTTTTCTTTAAAAATTTCAAAAATTTGCAAAAAGTAGGGAAATTACTATTTTTGCCTCATCAACTTACTGCATTGTGGTATTACTTACTGCATACTTCAAAAAAAAATTCAAATGTGTGTCTTTTGTTATTGAAGAATAAAAAGTGTTTTTAGGCAAAACATTTAAGTTTTTTTTTATATATGAAATAACAAAGTTCCCCAATCCTGTTCAAAACAAAAAACAGCCTCTCGATTTTTTATAATGTAAAATATGGCAGTTAACATTATGAGAAAAAATCTTGTATTTTGACAAAAAACCACTTTTCATTTTTGTAATGGGCAAAAACAAAAAGCTCTCTCTTTATTTATTTTTTTTTTTTGTTGAAATACATAATATTAAGCATTTTGAACAAATAAAGATTTTTAAAAAAACATTCCGCTATAAAAATTATTGTAGTATTTTGACTTAAAACCACTTTACAGCCAAAAAAACTCTTGTTTCTTTACGTTTAAAAGTATGATATTTAACATTGTGTGAAAAAAAATTGAGATGGTAAAAGTTGTGATTTACCAGTGGAAAATTCTTGAAATACACAAAAAAAAAATATTCATTAAATGGTTTAAATACTTAAATTTATATTTCTAAACTTTCAAAAGTTTAAGTACATAGTTCTCTTTTTTTTTCTAATGACACTAAGCAACTGACTCATAAATAAAAGAGTAGTAATTGTTATGAACACATTTGAATTATGCCATTTTAAAGTAAGTCAATTTTTATAATGTCCCCTTTATTGTAGTTTTGGACCAAGAAATTTAATCCTTTTTCAGCAAGTACTTTTTCATTAAAAAATATGCATTAAAATTTGTGACACAACAGTAACGACAGTGGTCCATTTAATTTAGAATGAGCCATATGTATCTCTCTCATTGTGCCAACTTATGTTATGTTATAAACACAAAACTATACAATGCATCTATTATTTATAGCAATTCGGCCTCATTTACTTAGAATTCAATTCAATTTATTATAATATGATAAAGTTCTAATCGTAGTGTGATTATTTTATAGGTAGCTGTGTCTCAACCTCTTGATTGTGTTGATAGTTCTATTGTGACAACATTACAAAAAAGTCCCAGTTCAGCCTCTTTGAACAGTACTTCTATAAAGTTACATCCCACATCAAGACAAAACTTAAACATTGAGCCTATACAAATTTATTTGAATGTTAATGGGGAAATACATTTCATGTTTTTGATCAATACAAAAGGAATTTCTTTAACACAAGATTCTCTACAACAGTGGGACGTTTCTTTTATAGGTAATTTTGGACAAATTTCATAATTAATAGACTAAAAACATTTTTGGATTGAATATTTATTTGCATAAATAATGTAAATTATTTATCATTACACTGTTTATACTAAGCTATGGTGTTAATTTTAAGCTTTTATTTGATTGCTTAAAATATAGTTTTAATTTCATGGGTAAATTTGTCTGTTTATTACAATCACCCGTCTATGCAGTAGAACCTTGAGTGGTCGTTCCTCAAGATACCTCTCAATGTAAAAGATTGATATGTGAAAACTTAGAATAGGCGTGAATATGAAATATTAAATAATGATTTGAAACTGTATGAAAGGTTATAAAGAAATTATGGAAATTTATAAACTTACAGTAAGTATAAAAAATTTTAATGTCAGAAATTATGCATTCATTGCAATAATACTTACAAAGTACAACAAAGCAGAATTAACGCATTTACTTAAGTAAAATATTTCAAAATTTTGGTTTGAACAAATTCTTTTCTTCTCGGTGTAAATTTGTGACTGATTACTATTCATTTTCTGTTTTGTTTATGTGAATACAGGAAATTCCTCATTGTTTCAAAGACTTGAAGATTTTCTGCTAATGTTGGCATTGGTTGTGGTTCCATTTTACCCTGTATATCAGTATGCACTTTTTCAACGTATTTTTGAGCCAACAACACCACAACTTTCAACATTTTCATCAATTAATGAATAAACATCAAACTTTTTTGAAGCATTTTTTGCCTACTGTAACAAATCATCATTTTCACCATCATTAGCATTAAGTCTCAGAAGTTATTGTTCTTCGTCTCAAAGTGAAATAACTTCAATATTTTTTTTAAAAATTTTGCTAGAATTCCTGAATGAAAGACGCAAGAGTCTACTTGTTTCAAAAATTATTTAAAGGAGTATTATTATTATTATAAAAATAGCATTTGTGATGCGACCATTAAAACAAGATAACAAGATAATAAAAACAAAAACTGTGGGAATGACAGATCAGGGTTTGAGTTTAGTAGTAACTGGATTGATGTCTTGCACTCAAATACTACTCTATTGTGTGGACTGCAAATTAAAGGAAGAAAACCAGCTTAAAATCAGTAAAGAGAGTAAAATATCAGTTGCTTAGGAGTAGAAAAATAACACTAAATAGATAAATTAATTTCTATTTTTTTCATGACATAAGTAATTTTATTTTACCAACTAAGACTTGCATTCCAAATTAATAATTTTTTTTGGAAGTAACATATCTTGCTAATAATGTATCTCATCTGTATTTACATGATCTTTTTAATCTAATCTAAGTGTAGAATTTAAAAATAAAAATTAGAGAAAAGATTACATAATATAAAAAAGAGGGCAAATTCATCCATTAGTTGCCATTTTTACAAATAATGATCACTTTTATTAAAAATTAAAATGGCTATTAAAACTAATTAAAAAGTTGTAGTTTAAATTAATAAAAAAAAATTCTTAATTGTACGCTTCTTGAAACTTTTTTTCTAACATTTAATATATTATTATAATATGAAATTAACATTTAACTTTTATGTGAAATGTAGAAAATTTTTTTATAGATTTTAGCACTTTAGTTGTTTAGCTAAATGAATTTTTGAACTCAAAATTTTATTGTTGCTTCTGACTTCTATTTCTTTTTAAATGTAGCTTAATTTCATGACTTTTTAAAAAATGTATGTATTTACTCAATTTAAAAATAAAATCTTAAACTTCATATTGGTACTAACCATTTTTTAATTTTAAAAATTCTGCCCAATCTTTTGATATTAATTTAGAAAAAAAGTAAATATTATTTTGCAAACATTATGAGTACAGAAATTAGAATTGAGGAGATTTAAGAGAAAATTGTAGGACGAATGTGGTTATAAAAATAATCTGCAAAAAATAGTGTTTTTTTTTTATTTGAAAAGAATAAAATTGTACTTTATTGATGCTTTGACTTAGCTTATTTTATATGCATATTTGGCATGGTATATGCCAATCTTAATAATTAGATCTCTTTTAAACTTTTACTATTTTAAGCAAATGTACAAAATTAAAATTTTCATGGATATCTGTCAATTTAAATTAAGCTAACTTAAAAATTTAAAAAAAATAAATACTTATATTTTTTTAAAATTTTAACTAAATTTCTTATCTTTATTCATTGTGAATATTTCTTAGTTTCAACTTTATGTTTTAAAATTTGTTTTTACCTTTCATTCAGTAGGCTTAAATTACATCCTTTTCTGTCCCTAATGTTTTCCTTATTAGTAGCTCATAAAAATAATGACTGTAATGCAAATACATTGTTTTACGAAGTAAAACTAAGATATGAACAATACAAACAAAACAAATTGTGATATTTAAAAGATAACTTATGTAATAATTGCTAATATTCACAAACGTTTGGTGAAAAATGCAAATTAATAACTAGAAAATTACTAAGGAACTCAGTCAGTTTAGGGTTTGTAGAAAAGTTTAATGCCACCTCTATGACAATAGCTTTTACAGTTGCTTGGGATAAGGCAATTTTACTAAAACTTCAAACCAAGCATTTTAACCATTTTCATTTATCTTCCCCATATTGCATTTTTTTATCTCATATGATCTAAACCCATGCTTCTAAATAAATATATATTAAGCTGAAGGGGAGAGTGTTTGTCAAAAACTAAATTTGTTCAGGGATTCAGTCAGATTGTATTTTTGTTGCATTAGTGATATTTTTAAACCTAATATAAATTTAGTAAAAAAATTATTAGGGGGGGGGGAAATTCTTCATGTTTTTACCAGTAAACTGTAGAATTTGTTCTGTAAAAAATATAAGAGAATAAGTAAGAGAACATAGAGCTCTGAGAGTTCCACTAGTACACTAGAGTTTTCAACTGAGAAACCCTTATGTGCTGTTGGAACTTGCAGAGACTTGTCTGCTAGTGGAATTCTGAAAATTTATGTAAAACCTAAAAGTGGTTACAGACTTCTAAGAATTTCTTTTGTCTTCAAGAATTGCGTATATACTTTTAAATTTATACATATTTTGTAGTTTTTTTCTTTGTTCTAATTGTACTAATTTTTCATTCAAGGCAACACAAAAATATAAATGTTTAAGGCAGAAAATTTAGTGGTATTGATGCAAAAAAATTGCTCTTTTCATGTGATTTTGATTGGTTTTTGAATAATTTATAAAATGTTTAAAGCTTAGAGATACTTATTTTCAATGTAACATATTTCAGAGATAGTAATAAACAATTTAATCTATTGCAAATCTAATTTTTTTCTTTTTAAAAATTATCTCTTAATAGCATGTAGCAATATTTCTGGAAACTGACATTAAAAGCTTTACTCGAATGTAACAATGTGTGTTTTCATTATTACTTATTTTAAGTGTTCTTTTCAATGTTAAAATTTACATCCATCTATGAAGAAAATTGAAACACAATAAAAACTGTTTTTTATAAATTTCCATTCTAAAATTTTCTTTCTAATAAAAGGAAATAGGACCCTAAGTTCTAACACAAATGATTCATAGATACAACCTGTCTGGCAAAAATTTTGTACTGTATATTCAAGCTTGTTCAGATTCATCATGTTTTACTGTATCTTTATTACTATGATATAAAGTATTCATATACTAAATGCACAAGTTACTGCCACAATTTTGCTTAAATTACTTAAGTAAAAATGTTACATATTTTGAGTAGTTTTTGAAGAGTTACACTCATAAATATTCTTAGGGCTTTTTTTTAAGAATGATTTACTTTACATCAAATGTAGTTATTTTCTTTTAAGTCTCATTTTCATGGATACAACCTTCTAAAGGTTACTTCATAAAAAAAAATATAAAAACTTTTTCCTCTGCAACCTTTTTTTTCTGTAAAGTTTGTTCAAAATTATATGTTTATTTATTTATAAATATTTTGCTTATATATTTTATTGATGTATATATTTGATTTTAGGAGAATGTGACTGGAAAGTTGTTTGTTTAGGAGGACTATTCCAAGAAGATATTCAGCCATCATTGATATTAAAATGCTTGTCAAAGCAAAAATCTTGCATGTCCGAAGTCAAACTCAATATTAATGTTTCAGCTTGCGATGATTTGAAAAAAACTTGTTTTGCTACTAGTGCACAAATAGTTCTTAAAACCACTATTTCAAATGCTGGATGTAATATTTTTGACGTCAAAGTATTTTTGTAAAATGTTACTCTATTTTATTATTAAGGTTTAAATATTTTTCAAGCTCTGTCATTTTCTTTCTTAATTTCAAGCATTTTCATATATCTCACCACAAGAACATTATCTGTGATCTCTTTCTATTTTTGATACTAGACTTTTATTGCAGCATTTATTGATATTTCTCTGCAGCTTTTGTTGATATTTCTCTGCAGCTTTTATTGATAAGATTTTAAAGGCAATAAAGATTATAAATTTTTATTACTATGTATTACTTTTAATAGAAAATTATTTTATCCTTCTAACATTTATTTAAACATTGTAACACAAAATATGAAGTAAGAAAATATTTACAGAAGACAGTTTTTGTGTGACTGAGTTAGTATATAAGTAGAGTCGGCAGAGAGTTCATTTATCTGAGAAAGGGCAGATTTCAGCATAGGGTTGCTAAAAGTCACTAATGCCTATTTCACTGGATGTGAAGAAGACTGGAAGGAATGGTACGTACTGAACACACCCCTGCCATGTTTTACTTATATTTCTTTGTTGAAAAGTTGCTTTGAAAAGAAAAGAATGTGCTCAAACGAAACTTTCAAATATTTTGAATAAACTGTGTTTTTAATTCTCTTTCTTTTGCTCCGTAAATATTTTTGCAATAATTATATAATTTTTCAATTAAAATTTTTTTCACTTATGAAAATTAAAATTTTAAGTCCATTACTTAAATATTACTTTTTATGCCTCTCCAAGTCTTTAATTTATGTGGATCCGCTTTTGTCCTTTTCCCGTAACTATTGTTTGTAATGGATGGTCCCATGAAAAATGATCGATCGAGGCTCTACTACAGGGCTGCTAACTTTTTACGTCTTTGGAAAAATGTCTTCTAGTGCTAAGTTTATGTTTTAGTGTAAGATTCTGTGCTTTGTTAAGTTATTTTCCACACTACTACAAGTAAATGATTGAAAAGTTCATGTGAAACGCCACTCTGTTCCAGAAATCTCCTGGTAAGGCTTTTAAAATGTTGGCAAAATTACAAAAAATTCAGAAAGCTTCTTTTTTTAGTTAGCTATCACTCTAAAAAATATTTTGAAAAAAGTGTAGTTCAGTGATATTCAAAATTAAGAGGATATTTTGTTGAGTTTTCTACAAACAACTGAGCGCAATGTAAAACAAATGTTTGAAACATAAACTAATTATATAAGTAGACTGCTCGTGATGCATTACATTCGGAAACCAGCAATCCTTCATGTGATTCATTCTCCAATCGAAGCTGTTCAAGACCAGCTGTCCTGTTTAGTAATTTATTCTAGAGCAGGCGTGATTCTTGACTTCATTCTTGTATGAAAGAGTAAAAGGGAGAGGTTCTTTCTTTTTAGAAGAGAAACATTGAACTTCGTCTTTCTCTTCAATAAAATGATTTTTTTAGTCGTATGTTATTTTGTAAGCCGGTATTTTTTCACCCTTCCAATTATTATTATTATATTTTTATCTTTCGTATTCGACGGCACTGTAACAATATCTAGGTTTTATGTATCACTGTATAAAACTTAGTATTTTTTGATTCACAACAATGAAGATTCAGGGTTTTGAAAGATATATAACGTAACTGATTCATAAATTATGAAAATTAAAAAGTTCTTAAACAATAACTTACTAATTAATGAAGCATAATCGATGTAAAAATTTTTTTACTTCAATTAAAAAGCTAAGCTCTTAATCCAAAAATATTTTAAGCTTGACTCAGTTTTGTTACTGACAGTCAAGTATTCAATACATGTTTAAGATTGAAAAAAGAAAACTCATTAATTATTTTAAAAAAAGTTATACAAGAAAAATAAGTTCGTTCTTACATTTGTACCATAAACTCTATGAGAAGATATATTAAAAAAATTTTAACCGTTAGATTTTTTTTTATTGTAGAATATTCTTTTGAAAATGTGATCGGTGTACATAAATATGCTAAGATAACTTAATGATTTTTGTTAATATCATAATAACGGAAATGGACCATTTGTTTTTAAAACAATTTAACACATATTTTGAAAGGAATAACAGAGCAAATTTATAAGAATAATTCTTATTTAATTATAAAATAGAAATGGAACATTCAATAAGGAGAAAAGAATTATTTGAATGAACTTTTACCAATACAATATAAATATGATGAACTCCTCTTAATAAAATTGTAGATCAAATTGATCTTTAAATAACTTAATTCAAATTTGCGTTTGCTCCCAATAATACACTGCATAGTCAATTATATATTTTTGATTTTCCTAGTAAAAAATAGAGAGATAGGGAGTTCCGTAAGGAGATTCTTTGATTTTGACATGAAAAATCTAATTTTATTTATTTAAAAAAGGTGATTTTTTTTTGGTTAATGGCGAATACTTGGGTCTATTTCCCATTGGCCTCAGAACTGCTACTCACTTCTGGTTACTCAGTGAGCAATTATGGCCTATCCACGGCGGTGGAGCAGCGTCACCCACGTCACACAAACCCGTTTATAGAGCTGGTCGCAATCACACAGAACGACATAGAGAGAGAAAGAAACATCCCTGAGTGAGATTCGAACCAGCAACCATCGGCTCCGCAGTCAGGCATGCTAACCACTCGGCCACCTGGTGGGCATAAAAGGTAAATTTTGGTAATATGTTATTACAGCATTAATTTTCCCTGTGATTTATGTGATGTGACTGCCAAAAAAGCTAGCGTTGTCTAAATCTACCACCCACGTCACCTTTTTTAACAATACATCTATAAATTACTAAAACAAATTTTCACTTGAAACTCACCAGAATTACTTAATATTAATGTCTTAATAAAATAAAGCAGATTTGAGCTCAGAAATAAACTTATTTCTTTATTAAAAAACAAAATTATCTATTGACAAGGTAATTAGAGTTTCATAACGATTCTTATGTCTTGAAATGACAGGTCTTGACATGAAGATACTTATAACGATTCTTTTTTTATACACAAATAATAAATCGGGTAACAAGAAATATATCAGGTAATACACGTATACAAGAAATACTACTCAAGTTAGGTTCAAAGCACAATGATCACGTTGTAAGCCAAATGGCTTCGAAATACGCCAGAAATAGTAACTTAGAAGTATAAGCAGTAAAGAGCTTTCAGTGCGCCCCAGTAATGTAGAAAACACCATCTATACGGAATCTGCAATTTTAAAGGCCGTTCTCACGCATGCCATTCACTCACTTCCAATCGCCACCGAGAAAATTAAAGAACCTGATTGGTGAGTTTTTCGTTGGAAATTTTTTTTTCACAGATGAGGTTCTCGTTCTCCACAACGAAGATCGGAAGTGTGTGAAGCGCATTCAGTAAAAATGGGCCTGGAATATGAGTTTGTAAGTTTGATGACCGATCACTTACTGGGTCTGTGTTGGTCCTCGATAAACTGTTCTATCTTAAAGTGCTCGACTTCGCGTGCAGGTCGTCGGGCTACTGAAGCGGGGGTGCCATCCCCTCTGCAGAGGATCAAAATTGTGATGGCATGTCTTCGGATCATCCTCAGGGATGTTTCCCAGACCATCGCCAATAGCCCATTGTGCAGCTCTAGTGTGACGTAAACGAATTACAACAACAACTACAGGGTTTGTAGATTCGTTCAAATTGTACAGCTGCAGACTTACGAAATATCCTTACTGTAAGCGATCGTACGTCAATGTGATTTGTGCATGCAGGAGTAGTTCTTCCTGCCTGAGTAACTTTAGTTAGACCTGACAAACGTGTCAAACTGTCAGATTAGGCTAATCTATGCCTTAGAGTAAATTACCCCGCCATATTGAGCCCAAAAATATGTTACATAACCGAGTTCTTAGTAGTACCGCAACGGTAGTCAAAACCATACGTTAGGCTCAGCCAGGCTTTAATTATGCATTACACCTCCACGTTAGTATGAGCTATACCTTAGTGGTATGTTACACCTCCAGTTCAGGTATAGTTTTACATTAGAGGAATGTTAGGCTTAGCTGGACCTAAATTATCTATTACGCAACCATGTTAGGCTTAGCTAGGTTTAAATTATCTGTTAAGCATAACCAAGCCTAAATTATATGTTCGTTAAGACACGGTTCCCAGCAGCAGATCACCGAAGTCAAGCAACACTGGCTACGGTCAGTGTGCGGGTGGGTGACCACTTGGATCAGTCTGCGCAGGGACCGAGGGTGTGCGGTATTGGTCCTCGTTAAACTGTTCTATCGTAAAGTGCTCGACTTCGAATGCAGGTCGTTGGTCTACCGAAGCGGGGGTGCCATCCCCTTTGCAGAGGATCAAAATTGTGATGGCAGATCTTCGGATCATTCTCAGGGATGTCTCCCAGACCGTCGCCAATAGCTCAATGAGCAGCTCTAGTGCGACGTAAATGAACTACAACAACAACATTCATAACACTATGAATAAAGGGTAGAAATTTTAAATTACTTTATTGTTAAGCAGATTTTAACCCTATCAATTTATGTTATAGAATTGCAAGCATCCGATTTGTATTAAGAGCGCTACTAAAATTATCGATTCACTTCTGCTAGTTTGAATTCTCCACAGAATTATAAAAATGAATCACGAAGTACCTAAAACTAAAACCATCCATTCGAATATGGTTGAAACTATAAGGGGATATATCGATTATGGTTCCAACCAAAGCCGGATAAACCGGTCATGGTTCAAACCAAATCCGGATATATCGAATATGGTTGAAACTATAACAGTATAAATCCATTATGATTCATACCAAAACCGGTTGTGGTTAGAACCATAACCTTATAAACTGGTCCCGGGTCGAACCGAAACTGGATAAACCGGCTATGGTTCAAGTCAAATCCGGATATATCGAAAATGGTTGAAACTATAACGGGATATATCGATTATGGATTAAACCAAAATCGGATAAACGGGTTATAGTTCAAACCAAATCCGGATAAACCGGTTATGGTTCGAACCTTGTTTACACCAAACGTTCCACTGTTCTATTTAACAATTAAGAAAATAAAACAATTATTAAGAAAATAAAACAATTTTAGAAAAGGAAAAATTAAAGCACTTTTTAAGGACTTACAATGGAAGAAGCACCTTTAAGGGCTTTTAAAAATCGAAAATAATCACCTTTAAGCACTTTCTAAAAACGCTACGTACCCTGTTATAATGCTTGGTCGTTCATTAGGACCAAAGTAAAATGCAAAACAAGAATTTGGCATCTCAACTGTATGTCTTCGATGTTCATTTAAATGTATAGTAAATCT